ACTTACTTACACACAAAAAAATTCTTGATTTTAATTCTTTATACTATAATCTTATTTTATTGATCCAACTTTTTTTTCGTAAAATAATTTTTCTAGCAATGTACATGATATCCAAGAAAGTAAACGTATATGTAGAGTAGATTTTTCTACCTACTCTGCCTCTATCAATGAAAAGATAATTACATTATCTTTCCTTCCTTTTCCAGTCCTTCCCAGAATGGCTCTCCTCTCTCTTACCCTTCTCTCCTATTTCTCTTCTTTTCTCTTTCCTTCTCTTCCTTTTCCTTCCCCTTCATTCACAGTCAGCCTACTTGCTTTGATTTATATTGTATTTGTAATCTGAGTGGTTTGACCTTTAAAAATTCAGGCTTTGGACATCGAATACTTGTATTTGAGATTTGAATCCAATACTTATCACCAAAATGAGTATTAAGTTTTCAAAAAAAATCTCTGTTTTTCCATGTGTAAAATGGGCAAGTAACAGTATCTGGACTTTATTCTCCCTTCCTGTTTAACTGGAAATTTGATTAAATGTCATAATCTAGGCTGGATATTTGTCGTAAGAATTTGGGAGACATTTTCCTGATAGTCTTCTAGTACAGCTGATGAGAAATCTTATGGCTCTTCAATTCTCTTTTCTTAGCCATGATTTGTTCTCAGCATCTTCTAGCCTCAAGAATTTAAATCCTCGAGCTATGTCTACATATTTTGACTAAAAGTTGTTTTCTTTTGATTAAAACCATACATCTAGATCTTAGCAGATAGATAGGCACCCTATGGGTAGTGCTCCTGTGCACTCTTTTCGCTGTAAGCTTAGCATATTGCACTAGGTTCCACACACAGCAGGTATTCAATAAACATTTGTTGAATACATGAATGAGTGATCTCTCCCAAACTTAAGGGTATTAAATTGCACACAAGGATTTAAGGATTTCATTCTACTGGACTTAAAATCACTTTAACAAAGATCAATACTACTGTGAGTTTACACAATATATGCTATTCTGCCTTTTTCAGACAAAGCAGTAAGTGATAGGCTCTTTGCACAAATTTTCTATTTGGTCTTGAAATAATCTGGAAATATAGATGACTCTCTGCCTCAAGACTTGTCTGAGATTATTCCAATAGGAAATGGTAAAGCTGAAACTAGAATTTAAATTTGATGGTAAAATCCAGACTTTCCACTTGGGGCCTGCTCTACTCCATTTGAGTCCATTCCTCCTCTTGCCTCCTAGCAGTCATTGACTATAAAAAAATCACATTTTCTCAATATCTCAAAAGCCACTTTTAAACTTTGTATCCTTCCTTGTCTACCCTCTTTGGGCCTCCATCTTCATTCTTGTATCCCAAGGCAATTTTAATCACATTTAAGAAACTATAAAATATTATATTAATCTATTTAGTATTTGAATGAAATGTCAAGCATTTCCTTTTATTACTTAGTCAAATGTACATTTTATAGTATAGAATGGAATGAACTTGAAGAAAGGTATTTCTTGTTTGGATAATTTAAAAGACTTTACAAACAAGGGACTTGTCAATTATGACATTTGTATTTTATTTTCAAAATTATGTTGTCTCACAGTTCTTTAAATATGTAATTATCATGGAGCAGCGTCTTCTTCTCAAGTTTTCTTGGTTATTTTTAGTATATTAGAAATTTAAACCAAAAATTTAGACATCTAAAGAAAAATCTTTCATTCACTACCACCCCCACAGAAATATTGTTAAAGTATGTTTTAAAAGCAATTATATTTGAATATTTTCATCTGGGAAGTTGAATGCTACACTGTATGGTTATTGATTCATGGAAAATTTTTATATAAAAACAAGTGTTTTCCTTGAGATTGTCTCAAAATATAACTTGTTGATCAAAGTTGATCATAGCTTACATTTTCGRACACATAAAACCTCAAGGCGCTTTTTAAACTCTTTTTGAAAACCTGCTTATAGCTAGATTTTTTTTCAACATTACAAAGAAATCAAAGAAAGCTGAGTAAATTTAAACCAACTTGAACAGAAACCATAGGGTCTCCTGGTGAATGTAACACAGGATCCATGACTACAGGTTTTAGCTATAAAATAAGGATCAGTGTTTACAGTTTACCAATATAAAAATCAATATAATGTTTCTCCTTTATGTTTTTAATGAAAAGTAATAAAGAGAGAAAGTATTAATGGAACGTTTTAATGAAGGTGTTAATGAAAACTATTAAGGAGAGATGGTTTTGCATCTGATTAGATATAAGAAACAATAAGGACTGGAGATGTGGTTCAGTGGTAGAATGCTTGCCTAGCAGGCAGAAGTCTCTGGATTTTACCTCCAGCACCACCACACAAGAAAGCAGAAAAAAAAAAAAAAAAAAAGTCAGCTAGGCATGGTGGTGTCTGACCATAATCACAGCCACTTGGGAGGATAAGGCAGGAGGATCCCAAGTTTGAGGTTAGCCTAGGCAAATTAGTGAGATATTGTCTTGAAATTAAACAAACAAACAAGGACTGGGAATGTGGTTTAGTAATAGAGTGCTTGTCTTGCATGCACATGCAGGAGAATCTGGGTTTGATCCCTCAAAACACAACAACAAAGGTTAGCCAAGCACAGTGATGCTCCCCTGTAATCTCAGCTACTTGGGAGACTGAGACTAGAGCATCGAAAGTTTAAGATTAGCCTGGGAACCTTAGTGAAATCCAGTCTCAAAATTCAAAAAGCAAACAAAAGGGGTTGGGGATGCACCTCAGTGGTAGAGCCCCCAAGTACCACACACAAATTAGAAAACAGTAGCTTCCAATTTGGCAAATTCAAAAATAGATGATTTGAGATGATTGTGAAGATTCATTTATTTTTTCTATGACATCAAAATACTTACAAACAAAACTACCTGTGGTCAGTTTTGGAAATATCCCTCAGAACAAGAAAGAAAAAGGTAAATATGATTGTATGTGGTTAATGCATGTTAACATCAAGTATCTCCAAGTATTAAAAGCATGAAAAGTTCAGCATAACTTTAGCTACTTTAAAAATGGAAAGCATAAACTTTCATGAAGCTCTAAGAGCTAATTATAACAGATTTGTTTTTTAATGTATATTCATTGAATGGAATAATGCAGTTTATCTCTATTATTATGATAAAATGAATTGTTTATCAATCAAACTGTGTAACAGCCACTCACGCACATGGTAAAAAAGTATATGGGACTCACATTTACAAATTTCCCTTTTGAGAACTACTAAGATAAACTAGTGAAGCAGCCCTTGAGTCATTTGATGTTTCAGTTCAAATCTTACATGCATTGAATGCCAACACTGGAAACATAAATGCCTACTGTTATCCCTCATTTCTTAGATTAAACAACTGAGTCCAGACAGGTTATAGATGCTTGACACACATCATTATGTATTCAGACTGCTAAGCCCGTGCCTTGTCCACTACACCACTGAGTTCTTTAACTCTGAGAAACTGGAGTTTAGGAGCCAGTTGCAATTATTTTAACATAAATATCCTTAAGAACAAAGTATACTATTTAAAGGATTTCTTGAATGGAAAACATGATTTTTTCCTAAGTGATTTGCCTGTTAGATTGAAAGAGAAAGTTGTCCTTAGAACAACAGAAAGAGTATACAGGTTGTTACTTCAGAAAACCACTAGGTAAATTTGCCTTTACTTTTGTAATACTATGAAGATGTGTGTTCTATTTGAATAGCTTCTATAAAATTTTGTAATATAGTCAAAGAAATAAGTCATCATGATGCAACATATATAAGGAATGATTCATTGATGAACATGTTTGTTATATAGAACATTTGACAGTCTAAGAGAAATGTATATATAAACTGAAACTGTGAAATCAGGAAAATACCAAATGACAAAAAAAATTTTCCGGTAAAGCTGATATTACTTATACTTTAATCCAATCTCGATTTTCTGAAAGAAAATGTATTTGTTCTATCTGCTTGCAATGGCAAAAGCAAATACTCCAGCTATATACTAAAATTATAATAATAATTCATTTTAGTGATGCTACAGTTTTAAAGACATGTTTCTATCTTCATACTTCCTTAGTCAAGTTCTAAAAGGAATTATATAATACAATAATATAACTTTAAATATATACACTTATTTAAAATAAGTTACATGATCTTAGTGTTGTGGACCAGACATGTATAGTGCCTATGTTTTTTAATGAATACATTTTAATTCTTTTCACCCTCTATTCTTTCAAATGATCCATATATGACATCTGAGCATTTCATTTCCTTACCAGAATAATTTCAAAGTTTCATTGAAAGCTATTGCCGCCTAATCTTGTTCCTCTTAGGCTGGAGCCTTGTGATTGGTAATGTCATGCACACATACAGCCAAGATACTCATATCACCTTACATTTTGTAATTGCTAGTGGACAGCCAACTAAAATAAAACCCACTCAACTCTGGTTTCAATAAAATATACAGGGTCATTTCTGACTTGAAATTTACACATTTTCAACCTTGATAGAGATTTAAGCCAGATTTATAATCTTATAAAACATTGGTTTATTCCAGAAAGTTACCAAATAATAAGGAAGAAAAACAGTATTAGTATACTGGAAAGAAATGAACAAACAAACCATGCATGCTGTTAAGAAGTTTGTGAGATAGCTCTGTCTTTAAAATGCAGAATCATCCAGAAAGTTCATCAATGGCATTCATTCACTAAATTTAATAGCAAAGTCATTTCTACTCTTCCACACCCCTTCGCAGTAACTGAACCTTTACTAGTTTGTACTCTGCTTGAAGTAAAAAAAAAAAAGCAGCAACTGAACTAATCTCAGTGCTTCAGAAATAAGCTAATTTCATGCTGAGAGTGAGCAGATACAATCAGAAGATAAAATGATGGTAAATATTACACATGTTCCCCCAGGAAATGCAATTTCTTTAGAATGATTTCTTTTAAAGAAAGAGAAATACAGGGAAAGAGTTAGATGTCAAAAAAAAATAGTTTTAAGTTTTGAATTTACTTACCAGTTTCCCAAATGCAGGGTCAATAATAAGAACATCAACCTCACCCCTCTACTTTGACTCCACAGAAGAAAAGGGGAGAAGAGAAAAGCTTTCCAAGAACCCATCGGGATCTCTTTTTCTGTTAACACTGCCCAATCTCCGAACCAGGACTTTGCCTCCCACCTCAGCAGCAGCCCAGTGAGTAGGAGCTGGGAGAGTGTGGAATGGCAATACACCTCCTAACCAGGTAGGATGCGACTCCCAGCGGAACTCAGCCGGGAAGCCAATCAAATCCCGAGGATGCTGGCATAAATTATCTTAAAAAGAGTTGGACCAATCAGTGGCCCAAAGGGGCGGAGCTTCCCCTACTAGAAACCGAGCCCAATAGGGAAAAGGGCTCCGTTTTTCTAAAAGAAAATAAACCTCTACTTCCTCCCAGCCGCAGAGAAACGTTTGAGTGGCCTTGACAGACCTCCTCCCTAAGGAAAGACTGCCTCCCTCTCCCCCGCCGCCCAGTCCCCAGCCTTCCCTCCAGTGGGTTTCAAAGAAAATGCCTCTTTCCCTCTCCTGGGTTTGGCTTCTGAATCTGTTTTCCCAGAGAGATCAGGGGGAATCAGGCAGCGCCTGTCCCTCCCACCCCCCACCCCCGGGCTAGGGAGAATTCTGTTCATTTTGGTTAATTATCATTTGTTTATTTTGAAGGTGGGGCGTTGCCTCCTTTTTGCACACCTCCTACCTGACCCAGCGCTCTGCACAAAAGAGCTCTCGGGAGATGCTGAATCTGTAATTGAATGAATGAGTGAGAGGGCTTGTCACATTCCGGGTGACAATGTTTCCTCTCCCCTCCGGGCCACAGGATTTACAGTCAGCTCCTCCCGCCAGGCACCAAAGGATGACACTAATGGCAGGCAAGAAACTATCTCATTTCAAAAACAAAAACAAAACTCTGATTGTGGAAAGGTTCCTTTAGCCTCAGGAGGGTGGTCCTCGTTCTCCACATCCCTCCCAGTTGCCGTGGCGTTTATTGAGCTCCGGTGTGTGGTACCTAACTTCAGAGGATCGGCTCTGAGTTCCCAGCAGAGCCGCGGAGTTGCCACGGCAACCAGAAAGCCTTTGGCAGCTGGAACCACTGTACAGGCAAAGACGGTGGTGGTGGTGGTGGTGGTGGAGAAGCAGGCTCTGTGCCCAGCCATCTTCTGCTTTTATGCCTTGCTAAATCCCTGCTTCCCACGGAAGTCGCCTGAGGTTGGGGTCTTTGGCTGCCTCATTAATCACTCCACAACCACCTGGAATTGGCCAGATTCATGGCTGAACTGAAATTGACCACCTAGTTACTTGAGAATATTTATCTCCCAGCAAACAGTTCAAGCCAGAAGTAACAGTGTTTGTGCATAGCGGTAAGGGAACTGTTGCTACCCTCACTGAAATCACTTAAAGGAATTGGATGGGGATAACAAGGTTAGGGATTTTTCTTGCCTGGAATAAACAGATGTTTTACAGAGCTACACTTCTCTTTCCTCTCTTGTTCATCATCCTTTTACTTTTCTGAAAGATGCCCGTTGAACCTCCTTGTTTCTGTTCTCCCATTTCACGTTAATTAAGCAGCATCTTTCTCTTCCATAAAGCATGTTAATCAAAGCAGCACATATCAGATTACTTACATAACAATAAAGGTCCATTTTAATAGACTATGAGAAATAAATTTAGGCAATTTAGATGAAATGTAATGCAAATATAAACCCTGGGTTTTGGGTTTTTCTTTTCTTTCCTTTTTCCTATTTCAATTAAAAATGTACTCTGGATAATTATTTAAATGTTTCATTGGATGCACACACTAATTCACTGATCTGATTAGCCACTCAGTAGGAATTAATTCACTTGAAGTACATTGTGAATAACAAATATTTGTCTAGTTACCCCTTGCATTTTCCTAAAATTAGGAAGGGTTTGGCACATATTGATGGGAATATAATACTAACTAATGTTTTGAAACAGTTGTTGATAGTCTTCCCATCAATAACTCTTAATGAGGTTTTGCTCTTAACTCTTCTCATATGTAACTGGAAGGTGCAGAGGACAGTTAAAAGAAATTAATGAAAAAGAAAGGTGAAGGAGATATCCTTGGGTAGTAACAAAGTGCCTGCTTATTCTAATAAAGATAAGGAACTGGAAAAAGGAAACTTCCCTATATTTTCCAAAAATCTTTATGTTTTTCTAACTTTGTGCTGAAATATTCTTCAATATTTTTATTTACATACATTTACTTGATTTTTTTTTAGTTCTATGTTCATCTGATATATATTTTTCCTTCTTATATGTCTTCCCAGAAATGGATCCTATTCTGCTGTCGCAGTTAAATTATTTTTTCCTGGAAACTGTGTAAAAGGGATCTAATCTCTCTGGAACCTGATAAAAGCAATGATAGTTTATATATAAGCCATATCTTGATTCCAGCAGTCTATCCCCTTTGATTTGATAAACCAACTGTATTTGTGGGGTGGAATGGAATAGGAAATGGAGAACCTATGTACAGTAAATTCTGAATAAAGTAAATAAGGTACATTATATTTATTAAGCAAACCAGGGTTTCACAGGAGCACACATCTAGGAAAACATATCAGGTATCTTACAGGATTCTAGGTTAGAACTACAAAAGTGGCTAAGAAGGTAAGGAACCGGAGAAAGTTCTCTGACTTCCATTGTGGGAGTAGTTTTCACCTGGAGACCATTTGACTCCATGGGATTTTGACAGTGTCTGGAAGGACTTTCAGTTGCCACACTTGTGGGTTGGGTTAGCTATGATATCTAGTGAATATAGGCAAGGGTTGTGGATATAACCTTAAATTCGCAGAAAAGTCCTCCCATGACGTAGAATTACAGAGTCAAACTGACAATATTGCCACCACCAAGAAGCTCTCTGACGTGAGTGAAGGGGTTAGGTAGGCAGATTCCACAGCAGGCGACTATTTTTTGTACTATTATTGAAGTCACCTTTCTTTTCCCTCTTCCTTTGGATGGCTGGAGCTTTCTGATTATTAAATGGTTCTGTATCTAGTTATAATGACTATCAATTCACAGTGCACACCAATTTTCTTTTTCTCAAAGTTGCTCAGAAATCAATTTAGAATATAATACTTGGAATTCATACTACATTTGACTCAGTTATCCCATTCCTCTGCATATACTCGAAGGATTCAAACTCATTCTGCCACAGTGAAATAGTCACTTCAATCTTTATAGCGGCTCAGTTGACAATAGCTAAGCTATGGAAGCAACCTAGGGGCCCTTCAACAGATGAATGGATAAAGAAAGTACGGTATATATACACAATGGAATATTATTCATCCACGAAAGAATGACTTTATGACTTTTGTCAGTAAATGGATGGATCTGAAGACTATTATGCTAAGCAAAATAAGCCAGTCCCCAAAACCCAAAGGTGGAATATTCTCTGTGACATGTGAATACTTACACACAACAAGGAGCAGGGGAAGAACATAAGTTCGGCACAAAGGGAAATGAAGGGAAGGGAGGGGGTTCAGGATTAGGAGAGACAGTGTAATACATCTTACATAACTTTACTATGAACACATATGAATACACCCACAGTGATTCTTCACATCCTGTACAACCCAAAGACTGGGATCTAATTAGAATGATATACTCCATGCTTATATAAATTTGTCAAAATATACTCTATTGCTATGTATTACTAAAAAGAAAAATTTGTTAAAAGTTTAGAGTCATTGTTTTCTAAGAAGTCTTTATTAATTGAACACTATATACTAGTCTGTTACATGTATGGCATGTAATAATAGTTACCATTTTTTGAGGGCTAATTATGTATCATCAGGTATAGTGCTTAACTACCCTAGATTATGGTACATGTAGTGGTCTCTCCTAAAACAATTGCTTCATATTTGTTTCATAGACAAAAATCATATTTTAAGAAATTAACTGTTTTCCTACCAAAACACCAATTCTGTTTTCAAATTTTATAGGTGAAGGATTGATAGTTTTTATCAAATATGATACCCCACTTAGTGCTTATCAAATATGATAACACATCATGCACATTATTATGTACGTATTTGATTAATACTTCTTTTCCCTAGAATTTGGCCTCATGAACACATCACTTTATATTTTTTTCCATTTCATTTTTACTGTGAACCTTTTGTCCAAAGAAATGACTTATATGAAACAGGCATTCAGTATATATCTGTATAATGAATAAGAATTCAATGCACAATTAAATGAATATGCAAATGAGTGATTTTAATCCTTTTCTATACTTCTGGAGCTATATAGGGATCTCTATTCCTCATCTTAGGTCTCAAGTACCCATTGCTAAGTAGGTAAATTCCAGATCTTGCTTCGTGATTTATTCTTTCCCATCACATCACAAGGATTATTTTTCTGACTTATACATATCCATGAGTAAAATTAACAAACAAGCTACTTCAGTTTATGCAGTTTATTAGTAAAGTAAAACAGAGATGAGGGTCAACATATAGAGATTTCAAAAGATTGAAGTTGTCTACCCCTTCTTCTCCTCAACTGTCAATCTTCTTAATACTGTGCCTGATCTCTAGAAAATAACCAAGATGAGTCCAGAAGATGGTTCTTGATGTAAGGTAGCAATGGATCTATAGCTTCTGACTCACTAACCACCAGAAGCAAAAAGAAAAAAAAAAAACTAGAAGGCCCTAAGAAGCTGCAGATCCACTGCTGCTTAATATCAAAAGCCAAATTCTGGACTCCTATTAGCTGTACTTTGGAGGTTGGGGAAAGTTCTATAATTATCATTGTACTTTATGAATTTGAACTTCTGTCACTATTCATCTCCATTTATTTCCCCTCTCTACTGGTTTTCTGACAAACACACACATATGCTTTTATGTCTAACATTAAAATATGTTCTGTTAACTTCCTTGACCTCCCTGTTTTCTATGCCTTTAGTTTCACCTTCCTTAATAGCCATCCTTCTCTGATTCTTTATCTCTCATTCATTCTTCAAACTCTCTGCTCTGGTGTTTTCCACCATTAATGCTGCCATGCTGCTAAATCCAGTAGAGGCTTTCGATTCTTATCTTGTGAGATCCCTCAACTGCAGTTGTTCCAGTTGACCATCCCCTTTGTTAAATGCTCCTGTATATTTTGATTAACCTTTAGCAAATTTTTCAAACTTTTTTTTATGTCTTTATCCTATCTTTTTAAACTCAATATTTTGTTTTCCTCATACATAAGTTCAAGTTATTTTCTTTTAT